CAGGAAATAATTTGAGGTGGATTGACATTAATTCTTCTTTAAAGATCTGTAGAAATTAACTGCAAATAGATTTGTTCCTGATTTTTTTTTTTTTGGTGGGAAGTCTTTTAATGGCTGCTTCAATCTCATTGATTGAATATAGGTTTCCTATATTCTCTGGTTCTATTTGGGTAGGTTATATGTGTCTAGAGATTATTAGTATCTTGTAGATTTTCTTTTTTTTTTTTTTTTATTTAAGAAAGGTAAAGTCACCTTTATTTATTCTTTGTACCTGTAAATCACTTATGTAGATTTTGTTACAATTCAAAAACTGTGTCCTGTTAACATGTTCCCTAAATTAAGCCACTAAGTTTTCTTATTCACTGTGGAAGACATTCATCAAAAGGCCATCAAGTATTTTTACAATCAAAAAAGGTAGCCCCAGTATAGGAGAAAAAAATTAGACCTTTTTTCCTTTTTTAAAACTGTTAAGGAAAAAAATGTTAAAGAAGGTAGACAGCAAAAACAGTAAAACGAAGTAAAACTTAAAATTTTACCAATTTGCCATAAAGAGATTAGACAGAGAGTGGACCATGGGAACACCCTCTTCCCCTGGATATTCCTATCTTCCCCATTTTGCTGCCCTCAGTATGCATTTTATCCTGACTCTCTTCCATCCTTCCTCAGCCATGGGCTGAACACATTTGGTGTCTTGAACCAAATACTGGTATAAGAACAGGTGGTGACTTTTTTCCAGTGCAATGCAGGCCCAGTACAAGGATGAAATGTAGGACATACAATTTATGCCCATTCCAAGGCTTCCAGTTAAGCTTAGCACATAGCATTACTGCAAGTAGAAATGATTAAATAGATTGTTGCTGTTGTTTTCCTAGTACTACAGACAGGTATTGCAGCTGGGTTACTAAAAATAAACCCCAGGTATACCCCAAGCCCTCAAAGGAGCCACAGCTGTGGTTAACAATGATTCATTTGCATTTTTTTATTTCATCAAGAGAAGAAACAAGCTGTCTGGCTTTCTTCACACCACCAATAATTTCGCATTTTAAAGTTTGGGATGTTTTCCATAATGAGCTGAATCAAAAATCTATTTGAAAAATATATATTTATATAAAAAAAAGATTCAGGTTGTTTGCACGTAAAACATCAATTGATAAGTTTGTCTTTGATTCCATGTTGCTGGAAAAAGTTTGACCAAGCTTGCATGCTAATTTGTCCTTAGTTGCAAGTATTATAGGCAATTTCATACTTTGCCTAATGAAAGGAAAACCCTTCTCCGACACAATCAGAATTTGACAGTGATTCAGAAGCAACATCCTATTCTTAATACTGTCAGTTTCCAGCCATCAACGTGAAAATCCTTGATAAGGTTGAGATGTTGCTAGGAACCAATTAATTGATGTGCCTAAGAGTTCTGAAATACTATTTTGCTCAAGTTTTTTTGTTTGCACCATTGATTGATTTTTAAAAATCCATGTTTGTTTTTCCTTTGTCCAAAGCATTCCAGGAAATGACACTGACTCTTTGAGACTGTCATTTTTAATTCTTCTTGTTTCATCTTGCAGGATGCTCACACATCCCTTTTTCCCTGCTTTTTTTGTTTTTGCCTCAAATTAATTAAAGCATTGCTTTGTCATAGATTCATTCGCAGGTGCTCTGGCCGTTTGGAGATCATGGGAAAAGCTTGTTTTTTGTATGGCCCGGAGTTCGGCTGTCGTATTGGAAGTGGTGCTGATGCTTCCCCACTCATTGTCACATCCATCTGCTCTATTCCACTTGTTTCCATTGGGTATTCCACAGGCGTCTGAGGATTTGCTGTGCTGGCTGAAGCACCTCTTGCCCAGAAATCCCCAGGAGAAAATTTGACGGGGCTTTAAGACAAGGAAGAGCTATCATTCATTTGTCTCAAGGATCATCTCAACAAGAAGTATTTCCCTTAGATTTAAAGGGAGAGGCACATATAACACTTTTTTCATTTAAATTTATTTTTATGTGGATTAGAAATGAAGGCAAAAATTTTGGTTGTACCATCTTTTCCCTAGACTAATTCCTGGAGTGTTCTAACTGGTCTCTAAGTCCCTGAGTGATAAACAGATATGCAGGTTTTTTTGTTTGTTTTTGCAGTGGTTGGGATCGAACCCACAGTCTCATGCAGGCTAGGCAAGCACTCTACCACTGAGCCACATCTCCAGACCTTATTTTTAAAACAATTTTACTCCCTTACTTCAAACAGCTTCCCAATGCATTTAAAATTAAAACACTTTTCCAAATTTCTGCCATTTTCCTCCTCACTCACCATACTCCAGAACACCAAGAAAAGGCCAAGTTTTTTTTCTCCCTCAGGGCTTGTTCACTTGCTGTTCTTTTGCCTGCAACATTTTGTACCTCCTATTTTTGCATAGCTGGCTCTTGCTCTTTATTCCTAGATGTTACTTCACCAGGAGGCCATTCTCTTATTCCTATAAGTAGAAGTCTCCTTGTTGTCTCCTCTGTTTGCTACTGCCTTTTTTTTTTTTTTGAGGGGTAGGTAACAAGGATTGAACCCAGGGGCATTTTACCACTGAGCTACATTCTCAGCCACCATCCCCCACCCTGTTAAACTTTGAGACAGTCTCCCCAGGTTGCTGAGGCTGGCTTCAAACTTGTGATCCTCTGCCTTGAAAGTTGCTGGGATTACAGGAATGCACCATTGTACCCAGCTTTTTTTTTTTTTTTTTTTTTTTAATAGCACTTGGCACTAGTGATAGTTACATATTTTTGTATGTATTTCCATCTTTGTTACTGTGACTCTCACTAAATTGTAAGCTCCATCAGGGCAGGGACAATTCCCATGTTATATGTACTATAAAAACATATAACATGCAGCCCAGCTCCTGGTGCACAATAAATGTTGAGTGAATGGAGTAAGAGGGTATTTGCCAGCATAGCAGTTTACTTTCAGGAGGGAAACGTAAACTAGTGTGTGACTGATCTATCGTTAGACTAGTCCTTTGCAATTTGAGATGACATAGATGCTGTGATTACATTAACCAAAGAAAATATGACAAACTTTCATTTATTTTACTTGACATAAGTTTCTTAAGCAATGCTCTTCTAGGTTTAAGGAAAAAAACAAACGAACAAAAAAACCTGAGAATAACAGTCTGAAATACCTGACAGGTGTTCGTGGGCTGCCAATAAATCTTCGTGGTGATCGAATTTTTGGTTCAAAAGAAAACTTTTCTTTCACACTTTCAAGTACAGATGGAGCCACATATGTAAAACCCAGAAAGACCTGGTTGGCACTTTCACTGAGAGTTGAGTCATCTGGGCTGTCAACAGGTGTCTGACGTGTAAACTTTGAATCAAACTGACTCACATCCTCTTCGGATTGCAACAGAGGTTTAAAGGGAGGCTCCACCTTCCGAGCCAGAAGTTCTTCCCAATTAATATGTCGGAAGAATGGATGAGCTTGAACTTCTCCAGCGTCCCCAGGACCAGCTCCAAGTCGAGAAGCAGCATTTCTTTTCAGCAGCTTTTTAAGCAAATCTCTGGCTTCTTGTGTGAGGTAGGGAGGCAAATTGAGTTTACATTTGAGGATTTTGTCAATTGTTTTCTTTCTATTCTCCCCAGTGAATGGAGGTGCTCCAGTCAGCATGTCATACATTAATGCTCCCAAACTCCACCAATCCACAGCACGATTGTGGCCACTTCTCATCAAGATTTCAGGGGCCATGTATTCTATTGTTCCACAAAATGTGTGTGTGACTGTTCCATCATGAATAGATTCTTTGCATAGTCCAAAGTCTGTTAATTTCACATGACCTTGGTGATTAAGCATGATGTTCTCCGGCTTCAGGTCTCTGTAGATGATTCCCTTTTGATGTAAATGCCCCAAAGCCATGGAGATTTCTGCCAAGTAAAAGCAAGCTGTGTCTTCCATAAATATTCCCTCTCTTTCTAACTGCATAAATAGTTCTCCTCCACTGAGATATTCAAGGATGAGGTAGAGTTTTCCACCGGTCTGAAAGGCATAAATTAAATCCACAATGAAGGGATGCTTTACTTCCTCCAGAATATTCCGTTCTGCTTTTGTATGAGCTGTATCTTTAGCATTTCTTACTATCATTGCCTTTTTAAGCACCTTCATGGCAAATATTTTCCCAGTATTTGCTCCTGTTACTTTTCGTACTTGAAAAACCTTTCCATAGCCCCCTTTACCAAGTACCCGAAGTAGCTCAAAACATTCTGGTCTGATTTTTTCTGGCCCTTTGTTCACACTAGTTTCTGAGATTTCAAATTTCTCACAATGTTCCATGCCAAGTTCATATGGTCCAACTCCCCCATGGTCCATGCTTTCATTTAACTGACCCCCCTCCTCCAGCTCATCCTCAGAGCCTGCGTCCTCTGGCTGGTCCAGGTCTATGTCAAACACTCCTGCCATGTCCTCAGCTTCCCTGTCTCGGAAGTCAGGCGCTGGGTAAAAGCCGTCCCGCCTCCGTCGTCGCCTCATGGGCCCGGACCCGCCGCAGCCACAGCCGCCGCTGCCGCCATCACCGGCTGCTTAGGCTTAGTGCCTCTTGTAGATTTTCTAGTGTATTGGAATACATTTTTCAGACCACTTTGTAATGGATTATGCATTTCATAACTGGTGTAGTTAGATCTGCTTGTTCATGTGTAAGTGTGTGGACTCGGCTTTCTTTCTGTTTCTTTTTATTAGT